ATTTTGGGACGCCGTCGCGAGGAGAGTCAACGAGAATTGTGAGTTCGGTTTTCTCTCTCTCTCTCTCTCTCTCTCTCTCTCTCTCTCCCCTTCCCTTTTTGTTGCTCGTCGTGCCGTGGACGCGCGATAAGGGAAAGGTACGGCTACCGATGGAACAAGAAAAAAAAAGGAGGAAAATAAAGGAGAGAAGAGTCAGACACGAGATAGCGGCGAGTGGACTGCGAGCAGAAACGGAGCGCGGAATTAATCCGGCCGGTAGTTCTATTCCTTCTCCCTCTCACCGTATACGCGCTTCCGTTTCCGTCCCAGCCGTACTTCGCCGGAAAATAGTTGCTACCTCGGACTCGGAGAACAGCGTCCGACAATGGAGTAATTATTGCAATTAGCGAGCTACCTACTCCGTAGATGCTTTTTCGTGCACGGTTGTGCAAAAGGACCGGGGAAGGAAAAGATGGTCGATACTCTTGCAGTTTATACGCTTTGAAAATCGACAATTTCGTGGAGAAAGAGAGAGAGAGAAAGAGCGAGAGAGAGAGAGAGAATAAATTGCATCGCTATCATAAAATGACTCTTAATGATGCTCGTAGCTACATCATTTGCTCTACATAAACTTGCCGCAAGCCGCAAAGGGCTGAAGTTGCATTTATTGGTCGTAAATTCGCCTTCCCGCGAATTCGATGGTTTCACGGCGGTTGCAAGTTTCGATTCTAAAACACAAGGATTTCCTTCGTTTCTAAGAGCTGCTTTCTCATTGTAAAGCAGCCATTCAAATGAGAGAAGGAGGTTTTCTTCTCTGCGTAAAATTTCGCAGTATATATCGTTTACCAGTTAAACGGTATTTCGCAATCTCGCGAAAATTATACAGTAATATTGATAAAAATCTATTCTGTTCTACTTAATATAAAAATATTTTATTTACGTGAAATATTTTTATATCAATATTTATACACACACACACACACACACACACACACACACACGCACGCACGCATTAATTCATTACCGTCAAATACCCGTAACGATCGTAACGGTATATATAAACACGCAGATTGCTCTGAAACGCAAGTATTTATTGTATAATGAAATAAATATCACAGAATATAAATATATAACAAAATAAATAAATACGTAAATATTTGCAATACTTTTTTTACATCGCCCTTCCCTAACGGTACCGTCGATACCTAACGTTTAACCGATGATGCATATGTGGAGTTGTCATGACACGGATACATAGCATGATTATCGTAACAGTTATTGCTGGAACCTCGGCGAGTGCGACTTGATGAAAGCTGCAATGAAGCAATCGCGCATCTGTCTTAATGACAGGAAGGAGCCTCGCGCACAAAGCTTCGATTTCACTGAGTCAACACGCGAACAGTCTCTTTCTTTCTTCCTTTCTTCTATTTATTGGCCGATTGACGACGATCGACGATCATGTGCAGTCATGATCATTTGGCTCACGCAGATGGAATGTTGACAAATGAGACAAGAACGCGAGAAGGAGCGCCTTCGTACTCTTTTCAAAGTGCACGATGACATTTGCTCGACATTCGACTGGAATGACACAGATACTTAATCTAAAATCGTCCTATCCCAGACAGCAAATTTTAGGAATGTCCTTCTCTGAGAAAAGAAGGGAGGACAACTTTTTTGCGATCATTCGTTTCATTTCATTTTCTTATGTATCTTTCTTTGTGGAATCCAAAAATTATCATTATAATGACGCTACGCTCAAGAAAAAATTGATATATTGAAATAAAGTTATAAAAATCCTTATTCGTTACGAAATTACTGTCAGTTACACTGTTAAATTTATAATATCAAATTATAATCAATTTGAGTTATTTTCAATATCTACAGGTCGAAACTATTACTCTTGCGTATCTAATATGTCGTTAATTTAACTAAAACAATGGAAAATAATTTAATTTAAAAAATGTATTAAATTTGACTTAAATTTTTATTATTTACTAAGTGCATAATATGGACCATGTCTACTTTGAAACTATAACCACAGAAATAATTTACATTTTGACATAGATGGAAGTTAAAAACAGAATATTATTTAATTCATCGGATTAGATTATCATTTTTCCTTTAATATCGATTACCATTGTTTCTTTAATATCTAACCTATGTCAATTATGCTTCAATCATTCAATTGTTAATCCAACTCTGAATTAGTTTTTAAATGATTGAAGCGTATAACCGACAGCGATTTTCGTAACGATGTGAATAAAAGGATTTTATTCTCTATTTCAATGTACCAATTTTTTCTTAAGTGCCATTATTATAATTTCTGATTTCATAAAGAAAATGCATAAGAAAATGTAAAAATAAAACGATACTATGATCGCGAAAAGGCTAAAGTATCCTCCTTTCTGGTTAAAGATAAACGAACCAGAAGAGTCTAATCATATCAATCAGAATTCTGATTATCTCAATTATAATCATAATAGAGTCAACTAGAAAATTCTTATTTGTCTACTTTCAAGCAAAATTGCAATTAATCCAATTTGCAACTATTCTTTTTCTATAGCGTAGAAACATTCTAAGAACGTAGAACATCTTAGGACAATTTCTTGAAGATCTGTGCTATATAAGATGAGATCCAGAAATGACTGAAACCACCGTGATTTTTCTTGTGAATTTTCTTCCTCATTTTTATTATTACGTTCGCACGTTTCGTAGGTCGAGGTGACTCCGTTCGCGGATTCTTCCAACGTTGCGGCTTTTGCGTTTTGCTCTTTTGCTACTTTGTTCTGTCATGAATAAGAGTTGGGAGTGAAGTCGCGGCAAGCAAGCCGTGGAGCGAAAGCGGGTGTTTGTAGAGAGAATCGTTTGGTTAGAATAGAGTTTCAAACAGAAGACACGATAGAAAAGCAGCGCAACGCGCTTTTCGCAAAACGATATCAGATGCGACGTCGAGTGGGCAAAATGGAATTACGAGTCTACCGTAGTAATAAAAATGTAAATGCACGATATACAATATCAAGAGATTGGAGTATTTTTTTTTACAGTCAGCTAATTTCAATGTTCACAGCACAATTTGATAATAAAGTACCCTTTCTGTATTCTAACTTGATTTAGAATGCGCAATATGTAATTTCCTGACTCTTTAAAACTTTTTCTTCGTTGGAATCAAAGAAGATAAGAAGATGCAAGCGTACCTAATCTAAAGAGTCTTGTAAAGCTTAATTCGTTAACCGTAAAAAAGTTCGGTTGTATTTTTGTTAGTATAATGAAGAGATCGGATATAGTATCGGATATAGTATCGTGTGACTGAAGAAAGCGTAACATTTACAAGTCCTGATTACACTTTTCTTCGCTCGCTTCGATAAACCAAGAGCTTACACAAGGTACCTTTTTTAAAGGATTTGCTAGAAAACCGATTTATAATAATTGCAAAAATTCTTCACTCTACTTTCTTTACACAAACATTTGTAAGATCTGCGATACGTTGGAAACAAGAATTCTTTCCGACATAATTGGATTCGCCGGAAACAAACGGAGTTTGTTTTATGGATTACTTCCGCAATTAGGAGTTGCTGTAAATCCTTCGATTAGCACTTTACTAAGATGTCAATTCGCGAAATATCGAACGTTTTTATGTGTCATTGAATAAAGAAATTATGATAATTTACTGCGATATTTCGAGTTTGACTCACATATCGGATATTCATTTTTGTGAAAAATAGCATTATTTAAAAATTCCACATTTCTAATAAATACGTCAAAATTAATTATCTTTCAATCATTTTTGATCGAATAATACGTGAAATTTTAGACACCGTTAATTAATTTTATTACAAAATAGTCTATAATTTTGAAGTTACATATTTACAATATGTAACTTACATTGTAGCAATTGAAAGAAATATAATTGGTAATTTTTAAGAAATAAAACAAATCTACAAAGATGTGTATAAAATGTTTATCAATTTCTTGTATCCTCGTATGTTAATATATTATCATAATGATTTTTATATTATATTAAGTACTGAAACAATATTATTATAAAAGCATCCGTAATTTTGCTAATTATGTAATTATCCACTTATAGAAAAAAAACATAGTAACTGTAAATATGACAACTTAATACACACATTGATTTTTATCACTTTCACAAGCATACAAAAATTATCAAATGATTCTTACATGTATTTTAACATCTTTAAAATATTTTATAAATCATTTAAAAATTAATTATAAATAATTGTAATTACTTATAAATTAATTTATGTTTATTTATAATTATTTTTTATGACTATTTGAACATCTTTAAAAAGTATTGTAAGGTTAAGGTGGGTTAATGTAAGGTTGTGTATTAAAAAAATATGTTATAACTAATTACTTGGTGCATCCAATGTTTTAAAGAAAAGAAATGCACGAGACACAAAAATGATCCAATCATGTACATTATAAGAATTAATATACAATATAATTGAATAAACTATTTTATAGTTGGAATGCAGTTTATTCAACTATGTTTGTGTGTATATTAATTCTACATATAAAACTTATACAGTTGTCACTTTTAGGGTAACATAATAATTTCGAACATGATACAATTCTGAACAAAATATTTGAAATTCAAAATTGGTAATCTTGATTTCCATTATGTGAAGAATATACTAAAGGAAATTCCCCACCAAACAAAAAAAACCAATTTTAAACTTCAAAAATTGGATTTAAATCTTATTTTATTGAGAATTGTACAATACAATATTCGAAATTGTACCACCTTACCCTATGGTTTTTACTATCACTATGCCTTTTTTCCCGGAGTGATTAACACACAGTTCATACTATTACTATAACAATTCATAATATTGAGATTCGACGTAAAAGCATCCATAATTACGCCAATTATCATCAACAATTAAACAATATTTCATGAGAGGCAAACATTGTAATAGAATACATTAAAGCCGCGCAGTCAGTAAAACACCAATTTACGAAGAAGAGACGAGCAATTTTTTTTAAGGCTGATTTACCTGGAGGACAATTACACTCGGAGATGTCGCGTTTGGGCCTGAAGATCGCTGTGGAATCGAGCCGTTGCGTCTGCCGCAGTTGCTCCTGCATCTCCGCCTTAAGCCTCTGCACCAGGACTTCCACCGGCGACGAAGGATCCTGGACGCGCATGCAGCGTGCTTCCAAACTCGCGATCCTGGACTCCAAGCCGAGCTCGCGGTAGAAGAGCACGCCGGACACGGCGAAGCTGGCGAGGCAGAGGGCGCACAGCGCCCAATTGAGGCCCACGGTCCCCGCACGGAGGTCTCCATCGCGGAACTTCCGCGGCATCGACGCCTCCAGGCAGGACGGCGATGATCCTTTGCCCGTCGCCGGGCCCGACGGCCAGGACTTGGCCGCCGGGTCGTTCTCCATCGCTGTCGCTGTCGTTGTCGCGCACGCACGCACGCACGCACGCACGCACGCACGCACTCGCGGTTATCCGGGGCTCCGGTTACGAGCGCTTGTCGAGCGTCCCTAAGCGGCGCAGCGCGTCATAACCCGTGCGATTCACGTCGATACACCGTCGCGCGCGGATCGCGGCGGCGGACTTTCGCGTGGAGGGACGATTAAATAGTAAATACAGCGACGTTCTTACCCAACCGACGGTGGCGACCGTTACAGACAATACAGACGTCGCGGCGTCATCGTCCATCTGGAATGCATCTTCGCCGCTCCGATCGCACGCCCCGTTATCGCCGATCTCGCTTCAATGACGCTTAATTTCGACGCTTGATTTCTGCGATCGACTCTCACCACTCCGCGTGCGCGATTACTTCCGAACTACTACTTCGATGCCGCGATCTTAACGCGAGCGTTATGTGCGAACGATGACGATCGGGACACGCGCGAGCGCGCGTTCCCCGTTCGGTATGAAACTGCCGCGCGTTCCTCCGCGGCAACGTTCAGCACGTTACGCTATCGATACTGTTGTCGGCGTCGCGTTCTCGCGGACTCGCGCACTTTTCACACATCGGACGATAACAGCGAGGGCGGCGACGGCGTCGATCGTCGTCTCGTGCCGCTGCTCCGTTATTCTCCCTCTAACCCTTACGACTTCCTGTCGCCTTCCTCTTTCCTTCGCCGACGCGAACGGGACGGTCGAACGGACGAGAGAAACGAACGCACCGTCTGCCGACGGCGGCAAACTTCACGGCGATCGTCGCCGCTGGTCAACGAAAGAACAAGATTTACGGCAGTGATAAAAAGACGAGAAAGAGATAGAAAGGACAGACAGGACGATATGTCGGCGAACGTCGCGCGTGAAGCGAAAGGAAACGCTCGCTTTTCGCGTTCTCGGACCTCACAGCACGTCGCCGTTACGAGGGAGAAAAGCACGGGAAAGCGTGCATACGAAGCGCACAGTATAACATTCGCGGTACGACTGGATGTGGTGGGGCGACACTACGACGCGAGGACAGAGGGTTCGTCGCTTCGGCATCGCTCGGCCACCTTCGGCTCGGTTCGTCGCGCGTCGCGCCGCGTCGCGTCTCGCCTCGCCGCCGCGCAACCACTTCGCTCTAACGGCCCGCCAAACGTGTACGTATGCGATACGCATTGCAAATCCAAGTGTATAATAAGTGCCTTCATATACGTGTGTGATTTACCCTGTCCACAATGGAAGAAATATTATGGCAACAGGAATAGATATTAAATATTAGAGAGATAAAGTAATTGGGGATGTAGAAATTATGAATGCTTTAAGGATATATTAGACATACAGTCCCCCTAAAAGAAAGTTAAATTTGAAAATATGTTTAATATATTTACACTTTTTTTATAAATTATATAAATTATATACATATGAAAGTTGTGTGAATAAGATTATATTTTTGTTTAATAACATAGTTTTGTAATTTATTTATTTTATTTATTATTTTTATTGTTAAAAATTAAAATTTTACCTTTTATATAAGTACTTTAAATATTCAAAATAATCTATGCAAAGTTTCATTGTGATTCACTGATTAATTACAAAGATGTGTGTGTGTGTGTGTGTGTGTGTGTGTGTGTGTGTGTGTGTGTAGAATAAATAAAT